TTGCAATGAGTAGTACAGAGTATACTGTCTGGCTCGAGAGCAGGTGAGATTCCAATAACAAAGTTGATTGACGAGGTTGAACACGATGCCATAAGGGCAGCGTGTCTACTTGCTTATATACTTGACAGGAGGATTGATTGTACTGCTCATATCAAGTATCGTCAGTGACTTGATACTTGGTCCAATCGAGCGTTGTCGACGTGACCTTGATACTCGGTCCTCGGTGTCCTATTGATTGTTGTCAATGTGGGTCCTCTGCAAGTGGGTCGGTATATGGGTCTGTGACGATCGTTTGTGTACGAGATCCACGTTGTATCCACTGCAGTCCTTTTCGTACAATCTCGGTTCGTGTAACAGATATTGCGAGTGTTGATTATACTGGGTATCACTGACACGGCTTCACAGCTTGGTCAATCGATACTGCAGTTCCTTGGCTGCTCTCATCTCGTTGCGTAGTCCTGTTTGTTCAGTGTTGTTTTGCGAGTTGTTCATGGATCGTAACACTATCCCCTCCCTTTCTAGGCTTCGTCCGGCGTAACGTAGATCAACGGTCGGATTCTTGAAGCTGCCATGCAGACGTGATAGCAGGGTCTCAATCTTGCGTTTCACCAGAGATGCAAATAACTCAACGTTGTTCAGCCGAATCGACTAGCTTCACTATAAACGCCAATTCAATTAGATCAACATAATATCTCATATATCAATCCCTGTTGGTTTTCGGTTCAGTTGTGTCATGGTACAGGGGCTCAGGGTGCCAGTACCCGGCCGTCGAGGCGTCAGGATACCAGTGTGGATGGGGTTGGGATAAACCTAAGATATCTTCCATCATAATCTTCGACCTCGACTTTGCTTGACTTACTAAGTCAATGAAGAATAAGTGCAGATGGATACCCATATAGACAAGTCTATCTTATTACCAACATTAGTTTATAGAACAATAACGTTATTGCTAAGTGTAAGCAGCTCTGCTAATATGCCTGCGAATACCTGCAAACGCCTGCATACATCGGCGACCGCGTCTAAACACTAAACAATATTCGATCAGCGTCCAAGCCACCTACGGTGCGACGCCCGAGAACTTTGCACTTTCGTTTGCCTGCATGCTCAACACCAATGCCTTCTGCAATTGTTCATCTTCCTCATCCTCTGTCGCGGTAGAACGGCCTTTGCCTTTGTTCCGATGGTGCGCTTCCAACAGGCTTTGCTTCCTGACATACTCCATCACGATATCTTCTTCGGTCTTCTCTTGTGTTGTCTTCTCCCCCTGTTGTCCCTGCTGTTGCGCCTTGAACACGCTCTGCGTAGTGCCAGCGAGATGCCCCTGATCATACGAAGGCGGCTGCGGCATGTGGTATGACCCATGCGCCATGGCTGCTGCTTTCTCCGCCATCTTCTCGGGTGCTCTTCTCACCCGCTCAACCTGCTCAGCTTCAGCCTCGTCATGAACCATATCCGAAACCCATTCACTGTCGCTGGCCCTCCATCCGTGCTCCATCAGACTTCGCTCAATGGCTTGGTTCAGCTGTTGCTCATATGCCAATAATTCGCTTTCGTGTCGTTGAGCTTCGACTTCGCTGGATGCCATGGCCTGGCGAAGGCTTTCCTGATCTTGATAATCATTTGCGGCTTCTAGTTGTTGACCTTGAAGCTGAGATACGCTGTCCTGGATCGCCCGCTGCACATCAGCCTCCGCCTCTGTATTTCCGCGTGACGTCTCCTGCTCTGACGATCGGGTGTTTGCGTTCATTCCAGTTGCTCCAAAAACCTCTTCAGCGGCCCTGTTGAGGGGTCGCAATGGGGATTGTACGCTACTCATAGCGAGCTTGGTGTCCCGGTCTTGAGCCGGGGCATCTGCACTGTCGGCAGACTCAGCGGCACCCGCGGTACGTTCGCATCCATGACGGACCTCCTTGTCCATCATATGCTTCCTTCGTTGTGCTTCCAACATATCTTGCATCATCTCGTCAGGGCTGTGCTTCTTCTTCAAGTATTCCTGGATCAGCTTCCACCGATCGAGGACGTCCTGCTTTTCTGCATCGGAGCTCTGCAGCCACTCCTCGTATCCTTGAGCCACTCTAGACGCTACGATGTAATTCTGCACGTTGCTGCCGTATAACTTCTGCACCTCCTTATGTACTCCCTTCATTGTATGTCCAAGGATACCCATAAGGCCTGCCAACGGCTTCGTTGTAAATCCTCCGAGGCCCTTGCCGATTCCTTTGAGAAAACCGCTGGTACCGTCTTTCTGGGCGCCTCTCCAGGGCTGAGTGACCAGACCAGTAACCCCATCGTACCAGCCATAGCCGAACTCTTTTCCTGCTGCTCTGATCCCTGATTTGAAATCGCTGACTTGTTCTTGAGGTCGCACTGTATCGTCACCCCAAAGCTTAGGGAAATTGTGAAAACCCCTGGTGATGCCCACTGAGACCCCCATGGGTGTCTGAACAAACGTTTTCACGAAACGTCCAAGGCCTTTGCTGGTGTGCACACCTCTCTGGCGCATCATGTCACGGTCCTGGCTTGAACTGGATTCAGTTCGACTGAGGAATTGCCGCCGACTAATCTCGTCTTTGTTGAGACTCGACTGGTCTTCCAATGCATCAGGCATACAGCTCGATCCAATAGTCGAGGCAGAAGACGACAGCCTGGAGAGGTTGGTGGTGCTTACAGCATGAGCGTGAGACTTTTGCACCTGGAAGCTCGTCCGACTCTGTTCGGATGGAGGCAGTGGAGTTGGATTTTCCCGCACGTGTGAGGTTTCGCTTTTGCTGGCGATTGTTGACACTGATGCTTGAGACTGCTGTCGGCTAGGCCCAGACGGAATGTGCAAAGCTTTGATCATATCCGTGGGGACATCAGCCACCCCCATAGCCATGCCGCTGAACGCCCTCATACATGCTGTGAAACCTCCGGATATCGGATCCCAGGGACCTTCGTCAGTATGATACTCTTGAGCCCTGAAGAGCTTCAGGTCATGGAAATCCAGTAGATTTGCGTTCGCCAAGGTACAGGCAGCAAAAGTGCTCAGCCTGACCTGTGTGCGCTTGATGCGCCACGCCGCAGGTAAGGATGGTGCAAGAGTGCAACGGAGTCGGTCAGCATCGAGATGTTGATGGAATGACTGAGCGCCCATATCGCTGCCTCGCTCTGCTGCGATCTTGCTTGCGAGTTCGTTGGCGCGTTCCATACTTTCGGGCTTCAGGCAGAAGTTGATGGCATCGACTAGTCTGTCCACTGTGAGTTGTTTGTGGGGGATTGGATTGGGGCCAGCGCCTGCTCGCGCGACCATGGCGCCCCAGAAAGGCTGGTCTCCAAAGAAGGGAACGATCAAAGTTGGTCGACCCGCGGTAATTCCTGCTGCTGTGGTTCCCGCGCCACCATGGTGAACAACACACGAAACATGCTTGAAAAGCCAATCATGTGGCACGTTGCCTAGCATAAAAACACTTTCGGGGACACAAAGCTCGTCCGCACCCATACCTCCCCAGCCTTTAGAAAGGAGAACACGTTGGCCAGACTTTCTCGAGGCCTCAAAGATGAGCTCTGTCATCGCGTTTGGGTCGTCCAAGACAATGCTCCCAAACCCGATATAAACAGGAGGTGCGCCAGCGTTGAGGAAGGCCTGGAGGCCAGGGGAAGCAGTGAAGTCGGAGGCCAGATTAAGAAAGTAGAATCCGGATATAGAAATGTGCGGGCCCCAGTCTTTCGGTTTAGGTATCAGGGCCGGAGACCAGCAGTATGTGTGAGGGACTTTGAGACGATGGAGCATCCCAGGGGCGTCGATGAGGCCGACAGGATCCAGGCCGAGACATTTTGCGCGAAATCGGTTGATGATGTCACCTAGGCCCTGCCACGAAAGGAGTTCGATCATTGCATAACTTATGTAATTGGTGAGCTGAGGGTCGGCATTGGAGGACTGGATGTTGGCCAGCGGATGAGGGAATGCTTGGGTGGGAGAGTATGGCATAGTGAACATGATGTGGAGAGGTATACCCAGCTTCTCTGCGCAATGGATATGCGCAAAACTCGGAGGGTTGGCGATGATACAGTCAGCGACGAAGGGTCTTGCTGCAGGCTCAAAGCCGGGGTCGCTCCCAGAATCTGGACTCATTCCGTCACCAGCTTTGTAGCATGATCGCCAGCAGCCTTGGATGTATTCAGCGACATCTCTTCTTCGCTGACCGACATCTCCACTCATTAGACTACGAAAGCCCGGCATGAGGTTTGGATTTTTGACCATGAAGGCCATTAGCTGAGATGGGTCGCCGCCGATACTGAAGAATTCCAGTCCATTTTCATGTACAAAGTTTTTGAAGGTTGGATGAGTTGCCAGGCGTACGCGATGGCCGTACGTTTCTTTTAAAACTTTTCCTAAGGCAACGAAGGGTTGCACGTCTCCACGCGAGCCCACGACCTGAATGACAACGTTCAAGGCCGGGGGTGGAGGTACTCCCTTATCCCCTCCTAAGGAAGGGGGGACGTAGGGAGATGTAGGCGGGCGGCTGTCTTCAGCTCTCTGGTCGTGCTCACGAAGGGCAGGAGTCAAGATCAGTGATAAACGGCGATTGAGCTGATTTATGCGGATGTTGACACGTCCATCATCGGTGACAAGGGCACTGGTACCCATACCATCTTTTTCATTGCGGATCTCGCCATAGATTTCGCCGTATGCAGGAGGGGGCATGTCGTCCTCGGCCGCATCGGAGGTAATGAGGTCGGTCGCCTCCAGAAGAGCCTCCTGTCTCGCGGGCCTTGCGACATTGATCTGGGCGGCAGCGGCAGCTTGTGCTTGCTGAATAATGGATTGCTGCACGACTGTGTCCGGATCGAGTTGTCCCTTCTCTGAAGAAGATGAGGTCGTCATGATGTGAAGAAGAGGAAGCAGGCCGGGTTCACCTCAGTCGTTCACAGCATGAGTATCGTTGTGGGAGCGCGACTGAGACAATGGGCTGAGTAAGGTGATGCGGTGACAGGGAGAGACAGAAAGCCGGAAAGAGGTCTCGTAAGCGCGAACGATTGTCTGTAACTTGACAATGCCGTGCGTGTGTACATTGACGGGTTAGCTGGGCAGCATGGGAAAGTATATGATAGCAGACGGTACTTCATAACCGAGCTAGGTTCTTGTGCGAAGGTAAGGCTGGGGAAGTATCGATTAGGATAAAGTTGCGACTTGGCAGCGCTTCGAAAGGTGCAGGCCAATCAGAGTAGACAGTACATACTACACGAGGAGGCGCAGCAATTAAATCGGCTACCGTGACGCCATCTCGTAACGCACGATCGCTGGAAACGCGTCAAACTCCTCAACATTACAACACAACAACAACGACAGGAATCAAAGAAGCGCTTGAAGAGATAGATAAATTAAAGCCTGGCAAGAAACTTGTATACAAAAAGATAGCCAACAAGCACGGCGTAAGCTACTCAGTTTTGTCGCAGGGCAAACCATATCGCGTGAGCCCAAGGCGCTCAATCAACAACACCTCAACTCACAACAAGAAGCAGAACTCGTTGGCTACATAGACATACTTACAGAGCACCATTTTCTACTTACACGAATAATGATTGGCAATTTTTCGTTGACAATAGCAAAGACAGACGTCTCCAGTAGCTAGGTTGACCGCTTCATCCACCAACACCAAGATCAACTTAAAACACCACAAGGGACGAAAGGCATAGACAAAAAACGCCACAAAGCTGACTGGCACTAATTAAAAGCTGTACTTTGAGCTGCTTCAGCAGAAGATTAAAAGAATACAACGTTAAGCCGCATCACATATACAATATAGATAAGAAAGATTTTGCAATTGGTGTCATAGGCAGGTTAAAGCGCATCTTCAGTAAGGCTTCATATGAGAGGAAGAAGGCAAAGAAGACACTCCAAGATGGCAATTGCGAGTGTATAACCCTGTTGGCATGTGCGTGCTAATGGCTCAGCGTTGCTGCCAGGTCTTGTTATAGCAGCAGACTCTAAGAACATACAATCGAACTGGGTGAGAGATGTGGACGCAGAGAAACATTCAGTAATGGTTACTGCTTCACCCTCTGGCTGGTTGAGCAATGCCTTAGGACTAGCCTGGCTTTAGCAAGTGTTTGATCGCTACATAAAGGCAAAGCAACGATGCAGTTACCGTCTACTCATTGTTGATGGCCATGGCTCTCATCTAAACGACAATTTCTTGAACTACTGTTACCAGAACAGGATTCTGTTGGCCATCTATCCTCCTTATTCAACTCAGACGCTTCAGCCGTTCGACGTTGTGTGTTTCAAGCCGCTATCAACTGCATACTCGAAAGCATCTATATTCGCTTCACGAACGTGCTGGAGATGCGTTACCAGGTCCACTGAAATACTTGCCCAGGCATAAATAGTGTCTCTCTTCATGTGTGTCATCGCTTCTTTGTTCCAGCAATAACAAAATGTAGTCGGTGTATTGTACTCTCCATGATTGCAGCAGAAAGCTTTGTAAGATGCATGATGTCACTGTTAAGCAGTCAGTAGACCTTTTCCCGTGCTTTAAACTTGAGCACATACTCCTTGCCATGTTCTGCTTGCTTCTCTGGCGTTCACATCTCATTGCACACCAAGCTGTCCTTCGGTTAATCAGTATCTAGAATAGGTCGAGACAGAAGTACGTACGCATGCGCCCAGGCTTGAGGCTGAGTGCAGTCTAGCCTCAAACCACGGGAAATGCTGTTGATTCCAGACTTAGAAAAGGTGATCTCGCAGCTTGAATCAGTAAATATAATATAGCATGTACGCACTGACCTCTTGAACCACGAAGTCTTGCTGAACGCTTCAAACTTTGAACGATTCAGACCTCAATGGACGGAGTTTGAAGCTGATCTCTGTTCCAGTAGTCTGTTGAAAACTCTGGCAACCCACAATTCAATAGTGAGGCACCACAACTCAACTTTGCTTTTCCGCTCGGACTTTTCAGCTTCAATATTTTCTTGCTGTAATCCTATAAAGCCGTTTTGCTCATCTTGCGTAAGGTCCTTGAGTTCTCCAAAATCTTTTATCTCTTCCTTCCAGGAATCAACTTCATACTTGTCGTTGTTGATTGTGCTCTGAAGTTTCTCATTTCCTGCCTTTTCTTCTGGCCTGTCGTGTCCAGCCTCTCTGATCTGAGCCTCTTCAGACCTATTGCAAATGATAAAAATTTGAAATGGTTTGCACGTAGGGCCAGATGGAAGATCTCTTTAATATTTTCATCCGTGATTGCTCGATCGATCCAAGCGGCAGCGAAGATCTGATCGCATTGGCGAACGTGGCACTCTGTGGCAGCCTTGGGAGCAGAGTCTTAACCACGAACTTCCGGGAGATCGGCTATTATGAGTCCCGTACTCAAGATGTAAGCGTTAAGATACATGCGTAGCTTCCGGGTGAACGGCTACAGCGTTTGGAGTCTACCGTTGGTCAGAGAGTCATCCGATTCGGAACTTAGTTCTCTGAGCTGCGTAGACCATTGCTCAATTGTGTTGCACAATTGCTGGCCTTTGGAGTGAGGGGGAGCTGTGACGCCAAGTCGATCATTAGACCCACAGCGCTGTCAAATCTTATGGAGGATGAAACATCAGGGTTGCCCCCAAGACGTTCTTCGGAAGACTACTCTGAAGGTCTGGTTGGCACGGTTGGCTTCTCTTTCCTCTTCTTTCTTGAGCTTTTCTGTTTGTTTAGTTGAAATAAATCGCTGATATGAGAAGCTCCTGGTGATACAACTGAAATATCCACATCACAATTCCGCAGAGGTAGATCGGTGCAAATTTGATGTTTGGCTTGGTCTAAGGTTACGACAGTAGCCGCTAAGACACAATCATTCTACCGGTCACCTATCATTGCCTAGCAAGTAAGGTCGAAGTAAGGAGTGTTGTTTTCCAACGGCGTAACCGCAAAGCTCAAATCTGTCTGAGCAGTATTCGCATCCTTCAAGGTGTACCAGAAGGTGTTCCTCTGACCAAACAGACTGCAACCAACTTCCTTCCAGTAGCGCTGCGAGTTCTCGGTGCTGGCAACTGCGTCCCTTGACTTCGGTCCAACGCGCGGCCACCCAGTTTCAGTTATCCAGACCTCCTTACCAGCAGCGACGCTCTCAGTCTGCGCAACAGCAGTGCGGAAGTTCTCAGCAGCCTGATCAATCGAGTTCGCCTTCGTGGTCTCAAAGTAGGGGAAAGAGTTGTGGCCGAGCCAATTAACAGTGTTAGCTACACCGCGATTCTCGGGCAGGATCCACGCAGTCCATGTGTCGACGTGACCGATGGGTTTGCTCTCTAGTGCGGTACCGCGGACCCAGTCGCGGATCCAGCCAATGTATCCTTCGATTTCGGCACCGGTGGCTCCCACGCCGGCGTTGTTAGCTACACCCTGGGGAGAGCTGCGGTACAAGTCCTCAGAGCCTACGCTGATACCGACGATGCGGTCTGTGAAGGGGGTGCCGAAATTGCGGGCTGCAGCAAGGAGTGCGTTCAATTCGTTCTCGTAGACTGCTCGGCCGGCGGATGCCCACAGGCCAACGAGGATCTTGGTGTCCGTGTCGATGGCAGCGCGAAAGGCTTCAATGGGTGATGCTGCTGTGCCACACTGGATCGATGTGTACAGGCGAGCGGCCTGGAAGCCGGATGTACCAGGGAGCGATTTTGCATCGTTGAAGTAGCGCACGAAGTCGCTGTAGCCTCTGCAGGAGCCGTCATTGTTTGTAGCACCGTAGTTGAACCCCTTGACTTGAGCCGAGGCAGCCGTGGCCAGGGCGAGGACGGATGCGATTGTTGCCTTCATGATGATAAGGCAGGGTTACAATTATTGATTATACACAAGGTCGAAGTAGGTAAACATGAGGCTGGAAGCATGGCAAGCCTCGTTCCTATGTATACCCAAGATTTTGCCCCTAGCTCCTGCATTGTTGGATCTGCACATCATCGCCAAGTACAAGATGACGTTGCGAGGCTCGTGTCTGACGTGTCGGAAGTCTTCAGCCCGCGTTTACGAGGTTCAACGAGTTGATCAGCCGAGCGCCATGCAGCTGAATGGACTTGGCGTGCCAACCCCAAGAATTCTTGTTCGGGTCGACATGCAGGGTCCAATACATTTTCCCCAAAGCGGGTTGGCGTCGGTAATTCTAGATCGAGAATATTGAAATGCAACGTCAAAGTGTGCCTCGTGAGGGTTGCAAAAACGTGGAGTGAGGAACATCAAGAATCTTTACGTGGTGTCGTACAGAAGCCTTGTTTGTGTGCCAAGACTGACCTGATCATGTCCACGTGCTCGGATAGAGTCGCCCTCTGCCTCGTCCGCCTCGACCTCTTCCTTGTGTGCCAGGAACATGTGATTGGGAGAGCACTGGAGTTGCGCGCAGCAACCCTGCATCGTCAGAAAACCACTTGCTCATATCCAGCAGCTCGGCAGGCGATTTGCCATCGTTGTTCTTCAAGTCCATGTCGGCACCCCTTTCCAAGAGCGCATTAACCAGGTCGGGCTTCCAACTCGCATGGTCGTGATCGCCCATCAGACCGTGCAGAGGAGTTGCTCCGTTTCCATCTCTCGCATTGGGGTCAACGCCAAGGTCGACAAGGTCGTTGAGAAGGAAGGCAATCACCGAGCAATCTGAGATCCAAGGGGTCATGTAATTCCAGCAAAGGGTGTGCAGGATACTTTGTCCCGCTGCAGTAGTGGCATGAACGTCAGCGCCACGTTCAACTAGATGGCGCACCAGCGCAGCATCTATGAACTGCACGGCCTTGTGTAGAACTGTGGTCCCATCCTTTGTTGCAGCGTGCACGTCCGCGCCGTGACCTAGGAGGAGGTCTGCCAATTGAAGACGGGGTGACAAAGCCCCGCCACAGTCATGCCAATATGTCTCGATGACTAGGAACATGAGCGATAGCCAGTGCTCGTCCCTGACAATAGCGTTGACGTCTGCGCCCCGCGACAAGAGTAATTTTGCTACATCGAGGCGGTTGTGTTTACACGCTGTGTAGAGGGGACTGTGCCCTTGGCGATTTGTTGCGTTGATGTCTGCACCATGCTCCAGCAAGACTTCCGTAAAAGAACAATGCGCTGCATGATGCAGCGGAGTGTCGAGATTATGGTCTGTGGTTGTTGCGCTTGCACCTTTGGCGAGGAATTCCTTCAGGAGGGATGTATTGTCCATGGTATCGCCCGCAATGATAAACAGCATAGATTGGCTTTCGTGGAGGTGCTTATAACAGAGAAATTGATCCCAGTTACGTGTGTCATTGACTCGTAAGCCGTGGTCCAGCAGGAAACGGACGACATCCCTCGGAACGGGATCATTGACGGACGCCCAAAAAGCTCGACTGTCAACTTCAGCTCCAGCTGTGACGAGCTGATTCAAAATGGGTAGAGTAGATGGGCCAATTGCTGGGTAGACCCGTCTGCAACCTTGATCATAGTCGAAATCTGAGAGCAAGCCGAGCATCGCATGAGTCAGAGCGTCTTTGTCGGCCTCAAGGTTTGCGTCTGGAAAACCTGGAACGTGCGTAAGAAGAAGGTCGACTGTCTCCCGGTGATGGGACGCAGCGGCAATATGCAGCGCAATCCTCGCTTCAGCAAGCAGTGGTTTCTCGCTAAACTCATCACTTTTTACTTTCTCGAGTATCGTCCGTATGCAGTCGACTTGGTTGCACTGCGCGGCCCGTCGTAAAGCGCTGGCAGGTATCTCGAGTCCGTAATTGGCCAGAGCAATCAAGACGTCGTTGGAACCAAAATAAGCTGCAGAGTCAATAACAGCCAGGCGAACCATATAGCAAGATTCCACTTCGTCCTCAAGTTGGTGATCTGCGCCAGCTGACAACAACACCAGAACAGCTTCTGCTCGATTGCCGCGAGTAGCAAGGTGAAGAGGGGTACAGCCGTAGCAGTTTCGCGCGTCGACATTGTCAATACCAGTGAGCGACAGTGCAAGTCGAGCAATATCTCCTGTATAGGCTGCTTTATGTAGCGCGGAATCGTCGTCTGCAACTGGATATGTGCCTTCTTGTGCATCTTCGCCCCACGTGTGGCTGCCATCCCAGGCGACATGCTCCCAGGTGTCGAGTGATTCAGCCATGGGAAAGATTCAATGATGATTGAAAGAACAAACAGTCGCGCAATGATGAGGGAACTAAGAATCGTGCAGTGGATAATTATGGTGGTATATGATACAGGTTTTTGATCTGCGACCGGGAAAGGCGCCGAAGGGCTGAAGGGCGGCATACGCTTCAAAAACGTGAAAGTTTGATGAACAATTGCGGCGCAGTTTCTTGACGGGCATCTGAGGGTTAGTGCGCAGTGACATCGCCGTGATGGCCTGACGCACCATGCGACTTTCAGTCCCTCAAAAACATCTTGTAGCTGGCGCTATCTGTGACCTCCTTGTACGGGTATCCGATATCCCTCAGGAAGCTGGTCAGCTTCGCGCTTTCTTCCTGCTTGCACTGGATGCCAGCCAGAATCTTTGCGACGTCACCACCGTAGTTCCTGTAGTGGAAGAGACTGATGTTCATGCCCGGCTGCAGCGTGTTCAAGAACTTGTAGAGCGCGCCTCCCCGCTCGGGGAACTCGAACATGAACATGTGCTCGTCGGCGGCAGCGCTGCGACCACCAACCAGGTAACGGATATGCGACTTGGCGAGCTCGTCCTGCGAGAGATCGGTTGCTGTCATGCCCTCTGCAGCGAGGCGGGCGATGAGATCAGGCAGATCGCGAGAGCGTGTTGCAGCCTTGAGCTCAACGCCGACCAAAATGTTGGCCTCCTCCGGCTCAGAGTAGCGGTAGCTGAACTCGGTGACGCCCATGGGGTGAATAGTGGACACGAGCTTTGCGAAAGCGCCGGGCTTTTCAGGAATCGTGACGGAAAGGAGAGCTTCCTTATTCTCACCGAGAGCAGCGCGCTCGGCAACGAAGCGCAAACGGTCGAAGTTCATGTTTGCGCCACTTGCGACGGCGATGAGACCTCGCTCGCGGTTTGGGGAAGGGTTGCGGCTGACCCACTTCTTCAGCCCAGCGAGCGCAAGGGCGCCGGCGGGCTCGACGATGGATCGTGTGTCCTCGAACATGTCCTTGATAGCGGCGCAGGTCTCGTCCGTGGTAACCTGGACGACCTCGTCCACAACCTCCTGGCAGATACGGAACGTTTCCTCGCCGACTGTCTTGACAGCTGCACCATCAGCAAACAGCCCGACTTCTTTCAGCAGCACCCGCCGCCCAGCCTTCAGCGACTCGACCATGGCGTTCGCGTCGTACTGCTCGACACCAATGATCTTGACGTGTGGCGCGATGCGCTTGATGTAGACGCCAATGCCGGCAATGAGGCCTCCACCACCCACGCAGCAGAAGATAGCGTGCAGGTTCTGTAGGTTTGTTTGCCTCAGCACTTCCAAGCCAACTGTACCTTGTCCCGCGATAACGTATGGATCGTCGAAGGGCGGTATGGAAACGAGACCGTGCAGCTTCTCGAGGCGCGCAGCCTCAGCCTTTGCAGCATCGAAGTCAGCTCCGTGGAGGATGACCGAGCCTCCGAGGCGGGAGACGTTTTTGTGCTTGATGTCGGGGGTGCCCGAGGGCATGACGATAGTTGCGGGGATCTTCAGGTGTCGCGCCGAGTATGCAACGCCCTGGGCGTGGTTGCCAGCACTGCAGGCCACGACGCCTCGCCAGCGGTCCTTGGGGTCGAGATGTGCCATTTTGTTGTATGCGCCGCGCAGCTTGAAGCTGAAGACGGGCTGCAGGTCCTCGCGCTTGAGCATGACATTGCACTCGAGCCGGTTGCTGAGGTTGGCTGCGAGTGTGAGCGGTGTCTCATTGACGACTTCGTAGACGCGCGATGTGAGGATGAGACGCAGATACTGCCATTGCCGTCAGAAAGACCGCCAAGGTGCAATTGGTCCCGTGACTTACATCTGGATACCCGTTTGGCAGCAGGAACGCCTCTGGAACCACGCTGCTCTTATCTCGCGATGACTCGTTGGGCGGGCTGGGATTCGCAGTGTATTCGGTGAGCGCGAGGCCTGTCTGCTTGGGCGTGCGGGGTGATGTGAGGCCATTGGTGCTGTTGTCTGGCGTAGTCGGCCGCGAGTAATCCTCAATTGCTGCCATCGTGTGTTGTTGAGTGAGGCTTGAGGCTCTCCAAATTTCTGGACGTCAAGTCCCGCGCTGTCGGTGAGTCGCACGGCCTGCATCGGAGGCCGGGTGGGCCCAGACCAACGTGGGGCATGCCGGCGCCAGCGGGGAGACGTTCGCCTGTCCGGTGTGACGCATTTGTACAATTAATTGATTGGTTGGTTGATTGGTTTAACGTACGCACTTGTACGACTCCTGTGGGCGTCATGACGAAGTCGCAAGGCTGAAGGTAAAGGAAGGCCAGGAACTGGAGTCACAAGCTACTCGAGGGAAGAGATCTCGGTCTGGCTTCTCAGTAAACAAAGCTTTTCCCCACTGGGTAATTACGACTCGGTCTTCTCCCAAAGCAGCAGGTGCGAGGAATAGCTACCCAAGTAGATGACCGGGCATGCGGCACTGCAGGTGCTGTTTGTGTCTGCCCATACTACTTCGACAAGAAATCAAAGACCAACTCGTTGAACTTCTCCGGCTTCTCCCAATAACACCAATGCCCGCCCCACCCCACCGCAACCCCGCTCGCATGCCCACCCTCCGTCCCTCCATTCGCCAACTCAACAACCTTCAACGGCCCAGCAGCAGGGAAACACCCACTCCTCGTGCTCGCAACAACAAGCGTCTTCGTCGTGCTCCCACTCCCCGGTCCAAAGCTCTGCTTGATTGCGTCCCGCCAGTCGAGCGCTGTGTGATCGGCCATAAGCTTGCCGTACCACCAGCCATCGCCCTTCAGTGCTTCGGTCAGGAAGAATTCTTCATCGTCTTGCCATTCTTTGGAGTCTTGAGTAGAGTCGCTAGGTTGAGGGTGCGACCTGTAGCCTAGACAAGCGGCGATGGTTCCTAGATGAGCTGTCCTTGGATCGCTTTCGAGCGTGCGTTGCAGCCCTCCTAGTGCTTGCGGGTTGTTGAGGCCACGATTTCCATACTCCGGGCCCCAGTCTGAGAGGTAGTTTTGCAAAGGTGCTTGGTCGACGTAGATGACGTGGGAGAACGCCTTCGAGCTGAAAAGCTCACAGTATGACCTGCTGTATAGTCAGTCTTGACTTCCCTTTTGGGACAGTGATTTGAGGACCAGATGATTGCCGCCCCGAGACTTGTGCCGATTGCTGATATTTGGCCTTTCGGCAATTGCAAGTGCTCGATCAGATTGCTGAGATCCAGTGCCAGACGTGCGACGTGGTACCCAGCACGTGGCTTTTCAGACTCGCCATGTCCGCGTAGATCAGGGACAATGACATGGTACTTTTTTGCGAATCCAGCGACGTTCCGTTTGAACACTTGCCCCGAGCCTGTGAAGCCGTGGAGCTTGAATGTTGGTCAATGCAAGTCGACGTCGCCCGTGAAACTCGGGTTAAGCTCGTACCAGGACTAACGGAGGACTGCTACTAAAGCCGTGTGTGGCATAGTGCAAGTGCACTCCGTCGTTTGCTTTGAGAGTAGGCATGACTTGAATGAAACGGCAGTAATGTAGATGCTTGCGAGTTGATAGGCATGGCTCGGAGACTAGACATTGGATCTGGCGCTAGCCCCGGAAGGGAAAGGCGTCCGCTCTAGACGCAGGCCCTAGATTTTGGCCTCCATTTACCATGGCATTGTGTCACGGTTTAGGGTGCTCCTGCCTGTCGTACCTCACCCGCCATGAGAGTGACTGCCACGTCACACTAGCGTTGTTTACAGCTACTCACCTATACATACTGTTCGCAGCTTCATATAATACTACCCAAGTTCAATCCTTCAAATATTTCCGCACATGCGTACTGATCACTCACGATCTACCGCAGCACATTGGCATTTCTTTCACGGACAAGTAGGTCCGTAAATACTTGGCCAACCTAGCCCCTCCAGGAGCGAGTACGCTCGTGGTATCAAGAACGATACTCCGATCTGGGTGTACAGCTCATAGTCATCGCTTGGGTTGCGATCCATTGCAGAAACTAGATATACACGCAATATCCCAGAGATGAACTTGTTCCAAAGGAGACCGCGAAGCATGCTGCAGTACTTGGTTAAGAGTATTCTTGTCAAATGTTGCGATTAGTTGTAAAGGAGAATTAGTAACAGGGTCTGAGGACTAGACAGAAGATGTTGTCAGAGTTCACGATTGGGACGGCGACGAGCTCGAGGACGGACCAGCGAGTGTGGATGACTCTGCAGAAGACAACACTGAAGACGATGCTGGCGCTGACGTTGACGATGGGGCCGAGAACGAGATGGAAGAGGACTCTATCGTCGAAAAGTGGGTGGATGAGGAGCTTGCAGGCGAGCTGGAAGATGGCTGTACATCCTGGACCAAGCGGCCAGTCCATACTTGGCTGGCTGTGACTCCCAGGTTTAGCGTGTTCTTCAGGTAAAAAGGTTGCAGACGCCCAAGATACATCAACTGGATATATCTTGGGTTCAACACAGCCAGTGGCCGCGTTGCAAGCATCCATGCAGGACTCGAAGGTGGTACCACCAACGGATGTTGAGTCCCCGCCATAGTGATCAATGTTACATTCGATTATATAGAGACCGCCGTTTTTTTGGCAGTGTACAACTTTCCGTTGTCTTTGTTGTCTAGACAAGAGAGCTTTGGCTGAGTGTTGACGAGCTGAGCTGTCAAGACTTATGGAGCGTTCACAAGGGAGGTAGTTATCTGCTTCAAATAACAGGCGCCGCCCACATAGCTAATTGAAGTCAGCATCAGTATCACTAACAAGCATGCATGAGTCGCTTACGACACGTCGACACACTGGGTGTTGGCAGCGCACACGACAATACAAGCCTCAAAGGTCAAAGTACTGGTGTATGGCAAATCGTCTTGATAATATTCTTGGTCGCACACGATCTGGAACTAACTAGTAGAGACTTGATACATCACGATGAGTCGAGGTCAGAGGCTGCGATGCAATCCTTGAAAGAGTCTGTCTGAAGTGGTCGCTGGTCGCTTCCGTAATAATCTTTCCTGCACACAACGTCAGATGTACTTGTCAATGCGACATAGGTAAAAGCGGTGCCCTCATCTTTGCCCGATCAGGTAGGGTCGGTCGCAAGATTTTGTTGTTCGAGACGGTGCGGCAGTGCCGCGCTGTTGACTAAAGCGCTAAAAGCTAATGTAGATGCCACAAAGAGCGTTTTAGCAGCCATAACCTGCAGCTGAGAGACATCAAAAGAGCAAAGATAGAAAGAGAAGCAGTTCGGTAACGAGCGACAGGAGGGAGGAAGGTTCAGGCTCAAGGTGCAACAATACCCACGTGAGGCTAATGCCTTTACAACCTGTCAAGTTGTAAGCCACTGCTTTTGACCTGCGATAGATGGGGACATATGGAGGCGTAGCGAGCTGTCGAAATCTACATCTCCATCTCGGCAACTGCGAAGCTCAGCCTGCACAATAAGCGCCACAGGTGACAGAGCCATGGTCCAGTTGATGAGCGACTATTGAGAATGGCTAGGTTGCACTGTGGAAGTCCTCGTGCCGATCTAGATGCACCCTAGGTGCAAGGTGTACCAATGCGTTAACTAAACACGGTTTAGCTCAAGGGCAATGCGTCCAGGTCCCGAACTGACGGCTTGCTGCAACATTGCGTCTACGAACTTGGAAAGAAGAAGTTATGAGAGATTGAAGGACGGATCTGTTCCTTCAAACTGTGCATCCTCGAACACTAGAACAGACGTCTAACGTGGTCGGCAAAAGACTACGGTTCAATGAATTGAACCTTGCACGACTCCAGCATCCCAAGTTCTTTCTTTGCTTTTACTTCTTGCCAAAAATCTTAGGGATGGCACGCGGGGTGGCTTTTGCTTTGAAAGACCACCCAGGTTTATCGACATCACGACATGACGTCTTTTTCGCGGTGCCCTGACTGGGGGGAAGACCTCACCCTGAGGAACAAGTCGCCAGGCTGCTGGCAGAACAGCTCGCTGTTTGACCGTTGTCTGCAGAGGTGGTGTGGCGAGGCTTCTCCTTCGTCTCCAGCGTCAAGTTCACTTCGGACTTTGGAGGTCAATGTGCTGCACTGGGGTTTGAATTGCACCGTCTATAGAGGTGCGTTGACGCTTTATGTCCTGGTGTCGTCCCTTGACCATTGAGTTAATTGGCTTTCCTGAGGCCGCATTCTACTATGCCTCCCAGGGTCTCGGTCGTTTGAAGTAGTCGTCTTGTCCAGGTTGTCCCAGCACCCTGTGCTATAGTGTGTCGCACGAGAAGTTTTTCCCTTCGATAAAGACATTATTGAATTATCTAATGACTGGGTGGCCACGGAAGAACACAAGAGAACGATTGCGCTGCAGTTGCGAGTTGAGACAAGAAGGATGGGGCAATCGTGTCGCACGCGCTTCGGTATGGCAGTAACCGACGCTCGGTAAACCTCAAGACGATGACTGTACTAGATGCTCTTTACAAACCTACAACTGTTGTGCGAGGTCGTTCGCAGATTTGTACGCCGGCCATACATCTAGCCCCGACTATTAGGGCCTTGACCAATCACACGTCACCAGTACCACCTGCTTGCTCTTTCCGCGCGTTTGCGGGGCTAGGTTCGGCCTGCCGACAACGGCAAGGTAGTCCGGCAGAACGTATATCCCTCTAAAGACTACACTCATATAATACACCACGGTACGACGAGCAACTGCTTCTGTTACCTCGATTCACATCCTCGACATTACACACATACACTCGCAATGGCACCAAACTGGGACCGACTCATCCGCTTCATCGCTACAGACGGCCGCGAACTGCGGGGTCAACCAATTCTTCCTTCCTCAGACTTTGATGTCGGCACAACAACAGAAGCCACAGGCCTAAAGGCCAAGGTCATCAGTGTAGCGAACAATGATGTTTTCGATCCCGCCACCAAGGTCACAGAGGAGGAGGTCACAGTTAAGAAGCTTCTTGGACCCGTGACTGTTGATGAAGTACCGATTATTCGATGCATTGGGTTGAACTTCATCAAGCACAGTAAGTCTTCAGATCAACCCATCTAAAAGAATCATATAATTCTGACAACGTCCACAGTCCAAGAAGGAGGCCGTACCCTCCCCCCTCATCCCAGCACATTCATCAAAGCCAACACCTGCCTCCAGGACCACGATGGTCCTATCGTGATCCCTAAGATTGCTCAGGATAACCAAGCGGACTACGAAGGCGAGCTCTGCTTCATCATCTCCAAGGACTGCAAAGACGTCTCCGAAGCTGAGGCTTTTGACTACATCGGCGGCTACATGTCTGGCAATGACGTATCCAGCCGCAAGTGGCAGCGCGATCCTAACCTTGCTGGAACTGTCCCGCAGTGGAACTTTTCCAAGGGATTTGACACATATGCGCCTCTCGGACCGCAGATCGTCAGCACCAAGGTCATCCCGGATCCGAGTAAGCTCACGCTTCAGACGAGGGTGAATGGCGAGCTCCGTCAAAACTCCGGCATCGATGATTTGTGCTTCAAGATCCCCACACTTGTCGCTTTCAGCAGTCAAGGCACGACGCTCAAGAAGGGTACCGTTGTCATGACAGGTACATGTGCGGGTGTCGGGTACGCGATGAAGAACCCGCAGTTCCTGAAGCCCGGGGATGTTGTCGAAGTCTCGGTTACTCCAGAGATCGGCACGGTCAGGAACACAGTAGAGTATGCGTAAACTGGATACGCCAGACCCAAAAACCTTGTATATGAGTTATGATGGATAAATGAATTGATAAGATACCTTCACATGACAGCGGCAAATCGAATGCAGCCACATCTTACAAGCACGTCGGCGGTTTAATATTGACCCAGGATCTACCGCTGTGCTTAGTCGATCCGGCCTCAAGGAGCACAGCTGGTGAGCAGCATGTATGTCAAAACAATGACCCTGACAGACCAAATATCGCGCAAGGTACTGTCACCAACCGATCCACAGCCCTTAATGTCCTGGAAAGAAGAGATTGTTGAGGGTGTAAGTGCAAGGTCAAGTACTGCTGGGGAAGATTGACTGCGCCGCCTGCGCCACATGGCAGGCCGGACATGTGTTTCAGCGTGAGTGCATACCTGCATTGCCTGTGCACGTCAACAGATCTCACACAGTAAATGCAGCACTGTGAAGGCGTCACAGGAAAATACATCGATGGAGATACAATGTGAAGAGAGCGAGTCATTTGACTCGAGGAAAGGGGTATCATTTTAATCATCAGAGTGCTCCTATGCTTTCCGTTGCCGCTTCTTTGCCTTTGATAACGCTGCAGATATTGCTGCGATGTCTGCCTCGACAGCTTCATCATCTTCACTGTCGTCATCGACGTCAGGAGTCTCAAGCGATAGACCGCCGGCGAGACTTGCCTCCTCAGACTCATCGTCATCCTCATCGTCCTCATCGCTGAAGCCGTCAAAATCGCCATCGGTCTTCTCGGCCTCATCTTGAGGTGCACCGGTAGTGTCCACGGTAGCCGCGACGCTTGTGGCAGCTTCGCTCTCAGTACCGCGCTTCCTCTTCTTGCTCATCTCACCGAGCACACCCTCACGGCCCTCGACACCAACCGCAGGGCCTTCCTCGCCCGCCTTGTATGGTGGCGGTGTGAACCAAGGAAGCTTTCCCCGAATCCAGTCGTTCAATACCATCTTCGCAGCACCGTCGATATCAGCCTCGCCGCCCTTGAGAAGACGTCCGCTCTTTCTGCAGAGAATCTCAAGGAACGTGACTGCATCGGTGGCAGGCTCCTTCAGCTCGTAGGTACGCTGCAGGTACTTCGGCTGTACTCGCTTGAGGACGGTCGGGATGTATTGTGCAGGATACTCGACGTTCTCGACGCGGACGCTGCCCCTCAGCAGCAGATCCTCGTCTGTGTCGTTCTGGTTCGGCGGGACAATACCCGGGCAGTCGATCATGTAGATTCTCTTCATGAGTGTGATGTACTGCCAGACCTTTGTCTCACCAGCAATGGGCGCGACAACGCAGACCTTCTTTTTCCGCAGGGTGTTGATGATGGAGGACTTTCCGGTGTTAGGGTAGCCGACCATACCGACGGAGATCTGCTTGCGGTCGCTGTGGAGGGAGGAGAATTGGCGGAGGAGGGCGATGAGGGAGCCCTTTCCGAAAGAATTGTTGATGTTGGCGTGGAAGGCTGCGATCCGTTAGCATTGGAAGGCTGCATGAAGAAGCAATAGTACATACCAAGAGTGGGGAACTCTTTGCTGAGATGCCTGACCCAGGCAGCCTATGATGATGTTAGCCATGATCTTCGTGCTAGATTGCAAAAGCAGCCATGAAGACGAGAGGGCATGTGTGAAGCGTTACTAAGAGGACCGCCACAAGATTCCGCAAGGCGGAGTCGGCCCTCAACTCAAACAGATCACTCTGAACTCTAGCGACAGCAACCAAAACGGAAGCCGTCAACCCGCAGCCAAGACGGCGTTGGGAAGGCGAGTCGTTCTCAATCTTCCCAGTTTGTAACAGAACCAGTCCATGAAAGTTATTTCGCGAGGAAAAGAATAGGTCCTTGACTTAAAATGGGGAACAGAGGGGGGAGGGGGGGGATGCGGGGGTGCAAGGGTGCAAGGGTGCAGGGGTGCAGGGGTGGACTTACTGCTACCTTGGAGGGCACCAGATCGACCTTGTTGAGGACGAAGACCAGATGCTTGTGAGGCGCCTCCGTACGGATGTACTTCTCCACACTGCGACAGCGTGTGCCGTCGGGGTCACGCGCATCCAAAACGTGGAGGATCACGTCACTGGAGTCGATGACCTTGTACAGCTCGTTCCAGATACGCTTGGAGGTGCCCTTCATGAAGATGAACTCTCGCGCGCTGGCAAGGTCGCCGTCCTTGTTTTCCTCGTCGGGCTCGCCAGAAGTGCCAGACAGAAGCTTTGCCTGCTCTAGCCTGTCGGTGTAGTTCTCATGCATGGTGTCTGTGCGGGTGGCGAGGTCCTCGATGGAGCTGAAGTCCAGCTTGGGCTTCTTGCGCTGGGCCTTGGCGCCAAACGTCTCGGAGAAGGGCTGGGAGGAGACGGCGATCTTGGCGGCGTGCTGCTTGAGGCCGTTGATGTTGCCCTTCTCCTCGATCAGGCTCATGGGCAGCTTGTTGCGCTTCATGAGGAAAGTAGTGGGGTCGGAGGCCTGTGCCTGCACCGCCGAACGGAAGGAGTCGAGGGCATCCTGGGAGATGACACGAGTGTTGTTGAACCACTTCCTGTTTGGCTCGACGCGGGCGACGGGCGCCTCGCGGGACTGGTAGGAGGCGGCCTTGGTGATGTCTCCGGCAGCGTTTCTCTGCGCCTTGCCGTCTGTGAGGCGCTTGAGGACCTTCACCTTCTTGGCAGACCTGTGTGCATGTCAGCCACATGCCCTGGGTGCCAGCCCTGTGCAGTGCATTGCGCGCGCCTACCGGTAGAAGTTCTCGCCCTTGACCTTCACGTTGCCCATGCCATCGCCGGTTTTACCCTGGCGCTCCTTGCGCGCAGCCTCTTTCTTGCCGGAACCCATTGTTGCTGTGTGTGGCGGCTCCCACGTGTTCGTGAGGGTTGGCGGGTGGGCGGGTGGAAGAGCGACAGGCTCTTTTCGCGGATCGAACTTTTTCTCAGTTGCGGACTTCCATTGGGGATAGCGCGCCTTGGCAGCATTTTCCGCACCCGCGCGACCACGACCGGACGACCTCGAGCACCTCCGCCGCGGGCGAACACCACCAGAACCATCGCAATGCCGCCCAGGATACCCGTCCGCGCGCCGTGGGCCTCGTGCGCCTCGTCGGCCTCGTCGGCGCCAGCCAACGGCCTCCATGCCCGCCAGCTCTCCTCGACGCCGGCGGTCCTGGCCCTGGGCCCCCAGTCTCCCAACTACATCGAGGTCCCCAAGCCGGCGCAGCCCACATTCCCGCTCGCACCCAACGTCAAGGGACACCTGCCCATCCCCCGCGACATCTTCAGCACGCGCAGCCCGCACCCAAAGGAGTCAGATGTGTTCTTGCGGAGGTCGACCAAGGACGCAAAGGACCGCAAAGCCCCCGGGCCCTTCAGCCGCGACGCCGACTTTCGTCTGTACAAGCAGCGCCTGGCTGGTGCACGGAAAGAGGCGCTCAAGGAGGGCGTGAAGGAGCTGCACGCACGCAAGGTCACGTCAGAGGCACAGCACCTGCACCGCATACAGATGAGCGGAGAGTTGCGGACAAAGCTCGCCATGGCGCCCAGGCGCGAAGTCGACGTCCTGACCGAGACCTCAGTGTCAAAGGGCGTGCGCGACTTTCTCGCCGACTCCCTGCCCGCCGCCAACAGGAACATCGAGGCCCGGAGAAGGGCGTACGAGAGGAAGCAGGCCGCCCAGCAGGCTGTGCGCGAGTCCCGCCTGCACGACCTCTACACCAACGCGCGGACGTTCATCGTCAGCGAGGAGCAGCTGGATCAGGCCATTGAGGAGGCATTCGGCACCGACGAGAACCCAATAGGATGGGACGTCCGGGGCAACATGGGCCTGCGCGCAACGGGCCACGAGGGTCTGTCGCCATGGAACGGGCCTATGCCCGAGGGTGTCGGCGACATGATGAACAAGCTGCGCGGTGGAGAGGGTGTTGGCTTGGCCAAGGAGCGTGTCAAGAAGCTGGCCGAGGAGCTTACTGGTGGAAAGATGTAAGATACTTGAGCGGAGATGTTGTAGGATCTGTACATTACGCAAGCGAACCGTGTGGCATCGTCACCGCAAACCGAATCATCATCATCATCATCATCATCATCATACTGTGGGCACGGGGACCTTCGAAGCGACAGCCTGCGGAGCTTGATACGAGAGTTAGCCATCCATCCAGGCGCCCCATTTACCACAACAAAGCCTCACTACCGTGTGGTCTTGCTCTTCCTCATTTTCACCCCACCCTCCCTGCACATGTCTCAACGTCATCACCACGCCAAGGTTCTCACCGCAGGTTCTCATCGCAGGTTCTCATTGCAGGCTCTCATCGCAGGTTCTCATCGCAGGCGGCAGTATCGCAGGACTAACTCCCGCCAACGCGCTACAACGGCTCGGCATCGACTATGTGGTTTTGGAAAACACCCACGCATAGCTCCAGATGTAGGTGCTAGCATATGAGCCAGATATCGATGATGATGACGATGTGAGTTTTGAATACCCTGACAGCCTCCCAGATTGGCTACTAGTCGAGCTTCCCGTTATGTTATCCAAGACCAGCGCCCCGCCAGGTAAGCACGTCGTTTCCTGATCATGAACCCAAGCAGCGATCCCGTGGGTGATGAATCGCAGACCCAAAACTCCTCATTAATGGCTACCACATCAGCGCCATTCGAGCCGGTTTGGATCTGGGTTCTATAACGAACCATCAGCTGGCGAGGAGCTAGCTCAGCGAATGTCAGACCGCACATAGGACGTGCTGCGGAGTGCCTTACCTAAGCTACCTACCCACGTTGTCGACGTGGGCGATGCTGACGGCTCATCGCCACTACGCAACATGCATGACTCAAAAGTGATTGGAATACGGAATCGAAGAAGCGGGGCCTCATCTACCGCGATTCCACAGCCACCCTCTCGGCCATGGCTTCAAAGGGAGCAAGCACGGAGTACTCAAGAAAAGGAACACTGAAGTAGCAACATCTCCAGCACGGATATCGGCATATCCAGCCGATACTAGCGGGCTAGATACTGTCGAGGTAGAGCCTATCGACAGTAACGAGACGTTCTACCATCTGGACTCCTACGGGTCGCTGGGTAGTCGCGGCTGGCGTCTGCAAGAGTCCATTCTCGCACCTCGTCAGCTCTACTATGGTGAACGACAGATCTACTGGCGCTGTCCGGCCGGATGTTGTGCTGCAGATGGGATAGTGAACATCACCCAAGTTCCTGAAAACCGGTTTTCCGAGTGGTCTGCGGCGCTCTGCTTGGAGCTGTTAGCGCAGCCCAGTTATTATGCTAGGGTTGACAGCGACGTAGTCGTCCTCCAAGACTGTTTCCTCGCCCATCTTGGCGCGGAGGCCTCTAGTGAGCGGATTACCAGTGAGAACGGCATTGAACGATGCGGTCATCGATGTAGCTGAATATTATTAGCTCGACTCTGATTGCCCCCACAACTACGAGGGGGCCGATACTGCTTTGCATGAATACAGTTATTCAATCTTCATGCCAGAGAAGACTTGAGGCAAAATCGCCCGTCCACAGGCCAGCTAGGTACTTTCCAGGTAAGGCGCCGTGTATGCGCTGACTGATAGCGGCGAAAGCCAGTGGTTTATCAGATCCACAGGTAAGACTGTGACGAGAGTATCGCTCTATCAAGGCATAGTACTTTTTTAGAATCCCGTCGATATTCGAGACATCTTCCTGTGCAGGTCTGTTCTCTCCAGACAAGCACGTTATGCTCTTGGGCAGCATTGATGATGTCGAAGCTGATGATGGAGGCCTGATCCTAAGACAACTTACCACCTCCGCTACTCAGATGCAAACGTCTAGCGGATACGAAAGGATAGGGATGCTTGAGTGCTTGGATTTCGATACAGACCAGCTTATGTTGTGGCAAACGAAAGAGCTGGACATTTACTGATGGACCGCTGTTTTACGGCTGGTAAACCCGGAGCCTTAACCGGTCCGAAAGGTAGAAACGCAGCGTCCGTATAACCCCACGCACACGAGCCCGCGCCTATCGAAGTACTACGTGTGTGTTGCATTGTGAAGGGTCCTGCATCTAAATGGTGAGCATATTTCTTGCCTCTGACCCGAGCTGGGTGCTCTGAAACATAAGTTCTCTCCTACAAGAGAGTAACGGTGTACTCTCTGCTATCGACCTCCTCATACATGGTCTCATCCCTCAAATTTCCCAAAAGCATCAGTCTCGTCTGAAGCCACCAAAGCACTTCCACCTAGGCGTGAAAGGCGTAGTGACTGCCAACGTTGCTCAGACTCTGACCGCCATTGTCAATCAAGAGGCCATCACCCTTAGTTGCCATGAAGTAAGCATAGCGATGAACATCGCTAGAAGCGTCGAGCCATGGGAGAACTTCGTCCAGGAAAGCCTTGATCTGCTCGTCGGAGCCGCGGGACTTGAACTCCGTGATCCAAATAGGACGGCCGGCTGCGATCTTGCGAGTGGACTCGATGTGTTTCTTGAAGTAGGCAGCATTGGATGCGTCGTCATACCTATCATAGCATCAGCATGGGTGTGCAACGGAAAGTGGGAAACAAAGGGGCTTACCAGTGGATGTTGACGAAGTCAATGTTGCAACCCGTGCAAGCATTGATGAAAGAAGATAGGTAGCTGAGGCCATTGGGTCCGTTGGTAACAGCGGGGGAGCCAAGATACATTCTCTCCTTCAGAGTCTTCTGAGGCTCCATGTACTGTTTCCAGGCCGCAACAGCAATACCGAGCTCCATGCACGAACCACCCTTGCCAGACCTGATTTTCGTCAGTCACGCATCAAGTATCAAAGCGCTGGTTGACTTACTCGCAATTGTCAGGCTCGTTGAAGCCGAGGAGATGGGTGGGCATGTCCTTGTTTCCGAAAGCAGCTGCCCGAACATCACCCGCCCACTTGCCAGTGTGGTCGGGGCGATTGGAGTGCAACATTGGTACGAACTCGTACCAGGTGTTCGTGTTGCCATTAGGCCGTGAATCCCAATTATAGGTCTACGTGACTGTCAGTGGGCGAGCATAGGCCAAAGATGGAAAATATACCCAAGTGACATGGCTGCCATAGGCGTTGAAGTACTTGACGTACTTGACCTCGTTGTAAGGCACACCGCGGCGTAATGGACCGGCAGTCTCGGGCTGAGCGCGGGTGGTGAGCTTGGGAAGTGGGTTTGCGACCGTGAAGTTGACGAGTGCCAGGCTCACGAAGAGAAAGACTTGAAGAAGAGACATCTTTGTTCGATAGTGTGCAAAGCAGACCGTGGAGCAGATGTAGTGAGAAGAGACGTGGTAGAGAGTGTGATGCACTGAGGCGCACAAGGAGTGTACTGGTGGTTGAGACCGAGTAAAAGGAGTGTGGGGTAGTGGGAGAAGATTTAGAGCGAGTGTGCGGTATATAGATGGGACAAAAGCATATGGTGAAGACAAGTGGAGCTGCGCTATACCTATCGCGAGTGACGATGAGGTGAAGCTTGGATCGCAAGGTCCTAGATAAAGTGAGTTCGACCTGCTAAGGGTTGCGGTCTCCGTTTGCGCTGATCCAAAAGGGGCAGGCGTGAAGGCCATGCTGAAGAGAAGGTGAAGGGCAACATTATGTCTCTCCTTCGACACTTGGACATCGGAACGAAGCATTGCATCTTCCACCAAATTGATTTGAGGCTCAAGCCCTTTATAGATCGTTTCTGCTCCTGCAGCATTGTGTTAACGAATACTCGGATGCTGAGTAGCGCGGGCTCTGCTCTTGATTTCTTTGAAATCTGCAGCGTGCTTGTTGACTTTTTGTTTGAGAGTAAACTCTCCTCCTTTTGAAACACTTGATATACCCTGCTTCGTCTTGAATCCGACCGAACTGTATCGCGCAACTCAAGCAGCTTGTCCAACTGTGCGGCTTCTCTTTTAATCTCATCACCGGAGTCAACGCCGTCATCATGGTACAGTCACCTTCCTTTAATCTGGGCGCGCATCGGCACGAGCCACCTCACCAACATTTCCATTACAACTTTGAGTAGTTGCAGCATCACCAATAATAGACTAAATCAAATGGTTTATGGCTCATTTTACTCGTAAAAGCCTAGTATTTTGTTTGGTAACCATCTGCCTTAATAACAGCATTGATGCGGTCCTGCATGCTGTGAATGAGGC